GCAGCTGCAGTGGACGCTCCTTCCCACCCCGGTGCGTTTCAGTGCCAGCATTGCCCAGGCTTGCTGCTCACTTGTCCTGACAACTGCCATGACAACTGCAACTCGACTCGGACTCGCCATGGCAGATCCCGAACACGTACCAGATTCGCACCTACACGTTGCCCGACGGCTCGCGCGCGTCCGGGACCGCGCACCTCCGCGACTACGTCACCTTCGTCGAGCCCGAGGACGCAGATGACGACCACGGCGGCGGCGGACGTTCCAACTTGAAGACCTGGCGCGAAGGCACAGGGACAGGCCCGGGGACGGGGACGCTCCCCGATCCCAATCTGCTGCGCGCACACGCGATCTTCGCGAACATCGTGCACTTGAGCGGGCTGGGGTTCATGTACGACCCGGAGCAGCAGATTCGGGATCTCAGACCGATGTTCAGTCGCGATCCTCTTTGACGGCCGGTCAGGGCGGAGACCGTGACTGGTCCTGTTGCAGCAGAGCACGGTTTCTTGCGAGCATCTACACTGGGTGCAGAGAGTACGGGGCGCTGGAGGAGAGGGATGACGGAGAGGACAGACCTGTCACAGACGCACATCATAGAAGACATATAGATGTATTTTATGACCGCTCCCAGTATGTTACTATGTATACTCACCTTCGAATTCTTTGTGTAAAGAGGTCCGAATTCCACCCAAACTCCAGAGCTCTCCACGCAACTCGTGCCCTTGCACCATTTCCTGCTCTTCCCGGTGCAGCGCTGGTACCTCGAACGGCCCAATGCACCCAGGTCCAGGACGACTTGCTATGAAAGGTGACGTAGTTAGCATTGGGCGCAGGATACTCAGAAGATCTCGACGGACACATTCACCACGGAGAACCAGTCCAGCATATGCACAGCTGCTTGATTTCAGCCTGCCGCCTGTCTTCGGGCTGCATGAAACTCTCAGACTCACGGCTGGACGAGTGTTACGCCTGAATTGGCTGTCAAACTTCAACGTGCGATGCATCTGAATACAATTTGAGAAGCGCCATATATGGGCATGTGGTGTAGTTGGTTATCACGCTCGCTTAGCATCAATAGCTTGCGAGAGGGGTCCGGTTCAATCCCGGACATGTCCACTTCTTCTTTACCAACTTGTTTTGGCCGAGCAGCGTCTTCATCGTATCCGTTGTCCAACCCATCACGAACTGCTTTACGATTGCTCACTCGCGCAGTAGCTGCTGCTGAGTCCGAGCCTGTTCAACCGCCGTCGCGAGACCGCGCAGCGACCGGTCGACGCTCCGAGGCCAGGACTCAGGACGACCTCGATCGGCGAGAAACAAGCAGCACCAAACTACTGGTGGACGTCTTCCTGCTACCTACCAACACGTCAATGTGCGGCGTTATTTGCGGCTCGCCACGGTAACATTTGTCTATTTTTGAACCCGTACGTGTCTTCGTCTGTGAAGGCGACGGTCGTGGGGCTGACTAATTCAACTAAGAGGTCGTAGGTTGTGTCGACGACTTGAACGCACCTTCGCAGGATTGAGTTCGATTACTCTATGGCAGCCATTCTATCCATGCTCTTCTTTGAGCTGCGCACGTCTATAGGAGGCCGAAAGCGTCTTGAGAGTGTCGTTGATAACTTCGAGAACCGTGCAAGGTTCCTGGTGGCATCTCCGTTGCTTGGTTCGTCGGACCCTACAGCACTGCCCTGGATCTGAATCCTGATGTTCGACTTGACGATCTTCCGAACCTGGTCTTCATGGCGTGAATTGCAAGGAGCTGTGGAAGCCTCGCTCGCCTCTAGATATAAATGACAGAGGCACGTCACCCGGGAAGACGTACTACCCTGCCACCTCTGATCTCTCGTTCCACAATGTCCTCAACACACTCTCTGTCCGTCGATTCTTCAGCATTGGTGCCGCCTGCACTGCAGGCCGAGTTCGACAGCCTCGTCAACCTTCTTGTCGTCGAGACCGTCTTCCCTACCCTCCTGATCCCAATCGCCGTATGTCTGTTCATGTTCACCAAGCCGGAGATCCAGAGGAAGCCTATCTTCGTCCTCAATGTCCTCAGCATCATGTTCGGGCTCGTCTTTGGAGCATTCTGCATTGCGACGATCGTGAGTCCTGAACCGCCCTCCCTTGGTGTCACCGTCTCCTGACGCATCGCTAGTCCCGTACCGTTGCGGGGTACTTTGTCAGCCCGCAGTTCTTCACAGCCGTCAATGCCCTCTACTTCTTCAACCCCCTATGCGTGCAGTGCATCCTCTTCTTGCGGATCTTCGCGGTTTACCCACCCCAAACCATCTCCCGCCTGCACGCCGTCGCGATATATGGCACGTTGATGGCAATTACAGTGGCACGCGTCGTCAATCTAGCTATTGGACTCAAAGACATGAGTGACGCTGCTCGCCATGCCGCGAACGCGTGGGCATTCGTCACTGTTATCGCGCACATTCCCTCCATTGTGGCCGAGCTGTCCATGGGGCTCGTCTACGACACGTACGTACTTTATCCGCATACATACGGTGGTTGGCGTATCTAACCCCGTGTTCCAGCATGGCATCATCTCTGTTCCTCTTCCGTCTCCATCAAGGCGGCGCGCTCAAGTCCAATACAGCTGAGGATCAGGTCGTCTGCCGCAGTGAGGGGCGCAGTGCGTGCAATACCTTTGTTCTATTAATATCTTTCGTGACGCGTCCAACACATTACTGCAGTGTCGTACACCGCCCGGCTCCGTGCGCTCTTCTGGATCGTGCTCACAAACTTCGTTGTGCCCATCATCTTCAACATCGTCCTCCTCATCCTGATACACTACGAGACCTTCAGCGATGCAGCCACCGTCATTGCGGTCATCTCCGTTAACGTGTACGTCCAGATCGTCAGTGGGCTCCTCGCGACGCTCTGGTGCCACTCTCGAACCCACCGGGAGACGGCCGCAGGCACGCGCGAGAGCCCGATGTCGACCCTCAAGTTCACACCGCCGAGCGTCCTCGCTTCGCGCATTCATGTGGAGCTTGACACCGTGCATGCGTCTTCTGCGAGCGGGAGCAGCGGGACCGCTTAGCAAGGGAAAAGAAGGCTCTACTCGAGAGTCGATAGCGATAGGCTCCCAGACACTGGTACTGGTGCAGGTCTGTTCTGGAGGGGCTCTTTTGTACGCGAGACTTTGTTGAATGTATGGATTGACTCAGAGTTTTCTTGGCAGATTTTAGCTACCGTGCCGCTACTAGTCTCTGGGCTTGTACTTGTATCTAAGATTCTCGTCCGGCATCCCCGCCATGGGACACCCACCCGCGGCCCGAGGTCTGTACTTTGGCGATCGCCTCGAATGGCAGCGGAACAGGCCACAGTAGTGCGTGCTGCCGATACACTGCACATGTTTCATGACTTCAAGTCGTACTTTGTTGACTCCATCCACTGGCATGTAGCTCCGACCCCAGGACTATACGCGGGTTGACAAAGTAGACAAGCCACAGAACTCTCTGCGGCTAGAGCACAAAGCGCGTCTTGTGTTCCGGCTGTTGCAGCGGGAATTGATGTGCTTGGAATACTTACTCCGAGTCTCTGCTGCTGCACCGGAACTCAAATCCTGCATCCTTAATCGAATTCCTCTTCATCGGTGGATCCCGGATATTCACACGGTACGTACCTAGTACGCGTCAGCACTTGAGCAGATTGGGTTCATGCTCGACACGGATGGTGGGCTCGAGAGCTCGTAGCTCGCGATATTTGAGCTGGCATAATCCATCCATTGCCTAGACCAATTCCACTCCTCCGACTCCGAATATGCACCCGAGTCAGTACAGCGAATTTATTGCGGTGGACTGCATTGTACATATACACTGTTCACTCGAGCTTGTCTCGGGCCCGATCAAGCCTCAGCAGATGCCCACAACACTCTTGAACGCCTCGTAGCTGCCCAATATGGCTTGGCGGTTATCCAGCGGCTTCATGCCTTTGCTGTAGCGAAGGCTAGGGTTGGGGAGTGGAGGAACGTGCGCCAAAACTACCGTCTTCTCTGGCGGGTACGTGCCGTGCGCTATGTGGCGAACGAGGTCCGCTGTAACGGGAACCTTGTAGAAGATGGGTGTGGTACCGAGGAGGACGATCCCCGGGATAATCTGTCAAGTGACCCATCCGTACAGTGCACACCAAACACAGTCAACGTGCTTTGTACATACCTTCACGTCGAGCTCAGGTTCGCCAGCGTGCCGGCGAATGTTGTTGTTACGATCGAAGGCGGCAATTGCCTCCGCGATGAGCTGAGGCTCAGGGTGACGCGGATCGTCCATGTAACGCTTATCCTCCTGCAGAACCAGGAGGATCTCGTTTTGTAGACGATCGACGAGACAGATGTCAGACTTCGTGTCCCTCCACTCGCCGCAGACGAAGAGCGGGATGTTCTTGCGCGTGCGTGCGACCCTGGAGCGCTTGGCGTAGCCCAGTAGCTCGAACAGCTGGACAGCGAAATCGACCCCGGCAGACTCTCCAGATGGGGCAGGCTTCATCGCAAGATCGAGGAGGTTGATGAGTTCTGCGTTGCGATCTGCAACCATGTCATCTGCGTCGAGCGTCGTCAACAGCTCCGGGTCGACTGAGGGTGTCGGCAGGGAGTCGACTTGGAAGAAAGTTTGCACGTCTTTGAGTTCGATGCTGATGTTGTATGCTTCCAGCTCGTTTTGCGTCCAGTCTTTGCCGGACTTTGCTGCGCGGAGGAGGTTGGCCATGATGGACGAGGTCAAATCAATCGCGCTTCAAGCCTCAGTTGCAGCCGGTGGCTCGTGTGGTTAAATAGGAGCGAGAGAAAGCGCGTGAATCTGTGTGCGGCTCGAAATTTCCCACGCTTATCCGTGGCCTGCGCGAGGGAGTACTTTTACCAGTATCTCCGTCGATGCGTCCAGAGCAGGTTGCCACATATTGGAGTGCTGTCGTCGAGCTGCACTGCGAAGCTTGATGTTGATGGACAAGCCCACGATAGGGGCTCAAAAGTTGCAAAAACGACCCTCTTTGAATACAAATGGACATGTCCGGGATTGAACCGGACCCCTCTCGCAAGCACGGTATAAATGCTAAGCGAGCGTGATAACCAACTACACCACATGCCCATGTCGGGCCTCGACATCCGTAACTACTGGTCAAGTGGAGCGGCCCACGCCCAACAACGGAGATGAACACGTCATCATCGCCAACCAGAACGTATTCTGAGGGCTCGATAGAAGCAAAAGTAGGTGAAGAGTCCAGCGAAGACAACCTTCACAGTTCTTCGGAACTCTAATTAGCCAGAGGTATATAGAGCGACGCATCTGGCATCGAGCGACTTTCCATCTTGCCCCGTTCCTTCCCTGCTCATCCTCCTGTCCTCCGTGCTACATATGCAGACCCTTTGGTTCGGCAGGCCCGCCGAGGCGTTCAGTATAGCTCATCCCGACTAGGTAACTAGCCCGCAGCCACGTGGCATTATTTACTGATGCCAAATAGCAGCCTAGCGCCAACTTTTTGCCAGTCGGCTTGGTCGGCGCGTCGTTTGCCTTCTGCACTCGAGGAGGGATCTTTGCTGGTCTTCTGTCTCGTCCTAGATTTTCTCTCTCATCCTCGGCTTCGACTGCGACGACAATGATTCCGCTCACGCGCAGGAACGCGGCTCGGGCCGTCTCGTACAGTCGTCAGAGCCTTCCCCGACCCGCTCGTCTCTACTCGACGCCCACCAAAAAGCTCCTTGCTCAGGAATCCGTTTCTTCCTCTGGCACCTTGCAGGAGTTTCCACCATACATGGCCCAGCCGTCTGCCTCGGGCTCGCGACCTTTGGCCGTTGCTGAGGACATGCACGACTTCCTTCACCGCCGCTCTCCTTACACCATCCTCCCAACGCCCCTCCCCGACGACGTCGCCACGCCAACGACTGACTACTTCTTCGCCGACTCGCCGACCCAGGACGCCGTCGCCATCATGGACGCCTGCCTTCACGGGCTGCAAGATGTACCGCGTGCGAAAGAGATGTTCGAGCGCGTCCGTGTCGCAAGACAGGGCGACCCTATCCTTGACTCTCGGGTCTACAACCTCATGCTAGAGGCCTATCTCGAGATGGCCACCAACCGCGAGGAGATCAACCGCGCCAACTGGCTCGAGGACGCCTGGTCGTTGTACTACGACATGGAGCACGGGACGGACAGCGTGGACCCGACGGCGAACACGTACGCAATCATGCTTCAGGCCTGGCTGCGTTTCAATCCCGAGTCCAAGAATCCCGTCATCATCGGCGGCGCACAGGTCCTCGACCCCGTCGCGCTCCTGCGGAACATCATCGGCCGACAGATTGCCCCCTCGCTTGTCGTCGCCGACCGTGCGTTCACGACGGACGAGGAGGCGAACGCAGCCATCAAGGCGCTTTCCAGAGCTGCAGTCGAGATGGGTCTCTCGAGGGTGGTGACGGAGCTGGGTATGGCCGAGTCGTTGGGTAGGCAAGCCGTGGATCCACTTGAGGACGTCCCCGAAGTCGTCCCTGTCGTAAAAGCGAAGGTGAGTTAGATACTCTCCAAACTACCGGTGTGTATTGAGTCCCGGTCGCACAGACTCCAGAGGTAGAGGTCATCCATCAAGAGGACGGGACCGTCTCCGAGCTAAGACCGCAAGGACCGGTTCCCGACGGCGAAGTGCCGTTCAACCTCGAAACGCTCCGGCGACACCTGTCCCAGGTCGTCCTTGCCCGGAGAGTCCTGTCGGAGGAAGTCGCGTTGCGCCAGAAGCTACTCGAGCAGTCCGTGTACAACGTCGCGGTCGAGCGGATGAAGCACCAAGCGGATATGCTTGAAAAGGTCGGGCTGCCCAGCAAGGGCTTGCAGTCGAACAACCTGAGGGCGTGGATGTGGGAGTGGCACCAGAAGCTGGTCAACCGCATTCAGGCTGAGTTGGAGAACCTAGTCGTGGAGGAGCGGGTCATCGGTGCGTTGACACTATTCTTCCGCTGTAGCGTCGAACGTTGAGCTGACTGGGTCATAGCGAAAATGAGGCAGAGCAGCAACCGGCATCGGAAGACCGAAGACGTCGCGCTCAGCCCTTTCCTTAAGCTGCTGTCCGCGGAGAAGCTGTCCCTGATTACGATCATGGAGATCATGCACCTGCACAACGCCGGCGGCGTCAACGATGGCATGAAGACCGCGCGGGCACTCCTGTCGGTTGGCCGTGCCGTCGAGGCAGAGTACAAGGCCGAAATGTGCAAGAAGAACAAGATCTCGATGCCTGTACCCACTACCGCACCCGCGCGTCCTGGCGACAAGAGCATCTTCACGAGTACAGGCTACCGAGACCTGTACGCGCGCCGTGTAGCAGCTCGGAAATACATGGAGGACTCGGAGGAGTGGACCTCTGAATGGACTCAGTTGGTTCGTGTCAAAGTCGGCAGCTTCTTAGTCGACTGCCTGATGGATGTCGCCACGGTTCAACGGTCGACGCAAGATCCTCGGACTGGCGAGAAGATGTGAGTTGTGTCTCCTCCGTAGACTGTTTCTCGGTCTGACAGGAACATTTGCAGAACGGAAGAACAGCCTGCCTTCTTCCACCAGTACGAGTACCTCCGCGGCCACAAGCTCGGTGTCATCAAGTTCAACCCGGCCGTTGCGGAACGGATGTCTAGGGACTCCGTTGTGGAGACTCTCCACCCCCGCCACTTGCCTATGCTTGTCAAGCCCAAGCCTTGGCTAAGCTACAACAATGGGGGGTACCTCTTCAACCGTTCATGGGCGATGCGCTTCAAGGAATCGCGTGAACAGGAGGTATACCTGCGGCACGCGTCTGATGCCGGTCGCTTGGAGCTCGTGTTCGCTGGTCTCGACGTTCTGGGCAGCACCCCTTGGCAGATCAACCGTCGTGTGTTTGACGTGGTGCTGCAAGTGTGGAACTCTGGCGAGCGGTTCAACAAGATCCCGCCTGCGGTGCCGGATGAGCCAGAGCCTGAAAGACCACCGAACATGGAGTTCGACAACAAGGCCAAGACGATCTACATTGAGCGCCAGAAGGCGTGGCAACAGGCGAAGGCCGCCAACCACTCGGATCGCTGCAGCGTCAACTACAAGGTCGAGATTGCGCGCGCTGTGAGTATCGCTTCTCACATCCTTTATTGCACACCACTGACAATCTCCTGCAGTTCCTCGGTGACACCATCTACTTCCCTCACAACGTGGACTTCCGTGGTCGTGCGTACCCCATCCCTCCCCACCTGAGCCACATTGGCGATGACCTCAGTCGTGGTCTGCTCCTGTTCGGCGAGAAGAAGCCTCTTGGCGCTCGTGGTCTCCGATGGCTGAAGATTCACCTTGCTAACCTGTACGGTTACGACAAGGCGAGCTTCGATGAACGTGTGCAGTTTGTCCACGACCATCTCGAGGAGATCAGGGATAGCGCTGAACATCCTCTCGACGGGAAGCGCTGGTGGACGAAGGCCGACGACCCATGGCAGTGTCTGGCTACATGCATGGAGCTCAAAGACGCGCTGAGTCTGGCTGATCCGGAGTCGTACGAGTGCTCGCTGCCCGTCCACCAGGACGGTACGTGTAACGGTCTCCAGCACTACGCAGCTCTTGGTGGCGACGCCGTCGGTGCCGCGCAGGTGAACCTTGCTGCTGCCGACCGGCCCTCGGACGTGTACACCTATGTCGCGAACATGGTAGAGAAGAGCATCCAAGATGACTTGGAGAGTGGCAACAAGTACGCGCAGGTGCTCGCCGGGAAGATCTCTCGCAAGGTCGTGAAGCAAACGGTTAGTGATCGCCTGCTCCCTAGCGTTTTGTGGGAGATGATGAACAAAGTACGTATTCTTTCTAGGTCATGACTACCGTCTACGGTGTCACATTCATCGGTGCCCGAGACCAGATTGAGCGCCAGCTCAAGGATCGCGGCGACATCCCTCCGGAGATGTGCTGGCTCGGCGCGTCATACCTGGCGAAGAAGGTGCTCGCGTCCATTGGTGATCTGTTCCAAGGAGCGAAGGACATCCAGAACTGGCTCAACCTGTGCGCCCGGCTTATCGCGAAGGCGATCCCCGAGGACCGTCTGGTTCATTCGTTCACCGAAACCGCCCCGGCGAGGAAGAACGCCAAGAGCAAGCAGCCGCGCTGGAAGAAGGAGCAGATGACGTCCGTCGTGTGGACGACACCGCTCGGGCTGCCGATTGTGCAGCCGTACCGTGCCGTCAAGCGCAAGCAGGTCATGACGTCGATGCAGACGGTGTTCATCTCAGACCCCAACAGCCCGTCGATTGTGAACTCGCAGAAGCAGGCGTCCGCGTTCCCGCCGAACTTCATCCACAGTCTCGATGCGACGCACATGATGCTGACCGCGCTCGAGTGCCGCGCGCAGGGCATTACGTTCGCATCCGTGCACGACTCGTATTGGACGCATCCGAGCGACATTGACCAGATGTCGGCGATCATCCGCGACACGTTCATTGCGCTGCACTCGTCGAACGTCCTCAAGTCGCTGTTCGAAGAGTTCAAGGAGCGCTATGCGGACTACAAGGTGCCGCTCGTCGCCATCCGTGGACAGTTTGCGAAGAGCCTGGGTCTGTCACCCGAGAAGCTCGGCATGTCCACGCAGGATGCGCAGCTCCTCATCAACTCTGAGGTGGAGGAGGGCGAGCAGAATGAGCAGAGTGAGGAAGAGGCTGCTGCAGCAGACGACGAGGAGGATATCGAGTTCGGGGCCGAGGCCGAGGACGAGGAGAAGCCGAAGCCGCAGAAGCGTAAGACCAAGGGCAAGGTCACCTTGAAGGCCGCCGACGTCGAGAAGCGTCTCGCGGGCAAGTTCGTCAACCTCGTCGACCTCTTCCCAGAGCTCCCCGAGAAGGGCAAGTTTGACGTGAACCTCATCAAGGAGTCGCAGTACTTCTTCTCATGAGGTGCTCTCTCTCGCCTTCGATGCTTTCTTCGTGCGTCTCGCCTCCTATTGCGTCGCAACTCGCACCTCGCACCTACCGTATCGTCATATCTTGGGTAATTGGGCTGGATCTAGTCATTGTCGTGTCGCATCGCTCGCTATCGCCGCATCACACTTACCATTTGCAAGCTCACATAGGGCCCCCGCATCCGCCCGCTCCTGCATATCCCGTCCCCGT